TTCCAGTATTACCAACTTTTCCTCCCCAGAGATCTAACATGTGAATTTCATGACCATCAGTTGAGGAGGACTGTAAAAAAAGTTCGAAGTTCTATTTTTCATGTCATCGGTAGGTGTTATGGTTCTTGTCTGTGTAAAGCACTATGCAATTGCGGCACATATAATATGTTGTCCTTTCAAATATAGAATGAAATAATCATTGTATATTGCAACTAATTGATAAACCCATTTACTACTGGGGATACGAGAAATTAATCTGTCATTCTTTTTCTTTTTCAAATGATGCTCTTGAAAGAATATCGATACGCTATAATTTTTATTATGATTAGGTAGATCCATTTCTGTAGGGATGCTGCAAGTTTCTGCACATGTTTATTATTGTTGACTAGTAATATTAGACATTAAACAAGAAGTTTAAATAGCAGAAGAAAGAAAGTCAATATGCTTAGAATATTTTCATGATAGAATTGACTATTCTCATTTTTCTGTAGGTCCTGGAAAGGGAGCAAATCCTGACTAAATTTCATGAGGTAACAGCTCAGTTGGAAGAAGCTTTGAATAGAATTTCGTATGAGAATCTGGATATATCAGATGAAGTTAAAGAACAGGTATATCATTAAGGATTATCCAACCACTTAACATTTGCTTTGTTGCTATCATTATATATCTGCAGGGCACTACCCTGTGATAATTACTTCTCTCTTAATATTTGAGAGATTTATTGCATTGTGACCTTAGTTAGACACCGGAGTCCTTTTTATTCCCGCATCATAGCCCTGACTGAAGCGGGCCATTAATACTTTATATGTCCGTTTTTTTATGTTTATATTCCTTTCTAAACCATTTTATGTGCAGGTTGACCTTGTTATTGCCCAGTTCAGAAGAGCGAAAGGAAGGGTCGATGCTCCCGATGATGAACTACATGAGGATCTCTTGTCCCTTTACAACAAGAGCAATGATACTTCTGCAGATCCAGCTGTCCTAAAGAGAGTGGCTGAAAAGTTACAGTTGATGGGGTTAACTGACCTTATGCAAGAATCACTAGCTTTACATGAAATGGTTATTTCCAAAGGCGATCCTGGGGAGACCATTGAGAAGATGTCGATGCTATTGAAGAAAATTAAGGATTTTGTGCAAACGGAAAATCCCAACTTGGATGCACCTGCAAGAGAAAAAGATCTTCCTCCAAGTAGCAGTGCACAGACATCCACTGATCACAAAACCCCAGTTATTCTGATGATTTTCGGTGTCCAATATCACTTGAATTAATGAAGGATCCAGTCATTGTTTCGACAGGGCAGGTATTGACACTGGGTTTCCTCACCTACATGAGTAACATTCAATTGAACCTTACATGTCCTTTCTTTACCCTGTTTTTAGTTTAGGATCTCTGGCAATTGGTATAAAAAGATATTAAAATATAGACCTCAGTTTGTTAGGGTCAAAGGTATATAGGGTGCTAAGTATGAAATGAAAATATGACAATATTAGAAATCCGTTTGAAGTGCCATCAGATGAGTTTCTCTACCTGTTATAAAGTAAGTCAGTTACTAGTTTAAAAGATGATTCCTATGCTCTGACTGCCTAGAAAGGGAAGAAGATTGTGATAGGATTCTGGTTCGCACTGATTTGGCATATATAAGCTATTTGATACTTTATTTTCTTAACCAAAATACCTTACCAGAACCTTCACGTGCTTTGAGTTAATTCATCCAGAATACAGAACATAAGAGAGCAAAAACCGAAGACTTGTTTATATTTTTCTTTTTACTTCTTTTTGCTAACAGGTCTCTTTTTTTTTTATTTTTTAATCTGCTGTAGACCTATGAACGTGCTTGCATCGAAAAGTGGCTGGAAGCAGGGCATGGAACGTGCCCAAAGACACAACAGACCCTTACAAGTACTGCCCTTACACCTAATTATGTGCTCCGTAGTCTCATAGCCCAGTGGTGCGAGTCAAATGGGGTTGAACCCCCAAAACGGCCCAGTAGTTCTCGTCCTAGTAAAGCTACATCATCATGCTCTCCGGCTGAGCGCACCAAGATAGAAATTCTTCTTCGGAAACTCACATCTGGAAACCCAGAAGACCAAAGATCTGCTGCAGGTGAAATCCGTCTTCTTGCCAAACGCAATGCAGATAATCGTGTGGCCATTGCCGAAGCTGGTGCTATACCTCTTCTTGTCGGCCTTCTCTCAACGCCTGACTCTCGAACCCAGGAGCATGCTGTAACAGCCCTTCTCAATCTTTCAATATGCGAAGATAACAAAGGAAGTATCATTTCTTGTGGAGCTGTTCCGGGTATTGTTCATGTGCTTAAGAAAGGGAGTATGGAAGCTAGGGAAAATGCTGCAGCCACACTTTTTAGCCTTTCAGTCATTGATGAAAATAAGGTAACAATCGGTGCCTCAGGGGCCATTCCGCCACTAGTGACGCTGCTTAGTGAAGGTACACAGAGAGGTAAAAAGGATGCTGCCACAGCATTATTCAACTTGTGCATTTACCAAGGAAACAAAGGAAAGGCAGTTAGGGCAGGAGTTGTGCCAACATTGATGCGGCTATTGACAGAACCGGGAGGTGGAATGGTGGACGAGGCACTTGCCATTCTAGCTATATTGGCTAGCCATCCGGAAGGGAAGTCCGCCATTGGAGCTGCAGAAGCAGTTCCTGTTTTGGTAGAAGTCATAGGGAATGCTTCCCCCCGTAACAGAGAGAATGCAGCTGCAGTACTGGTGCATCTTTGTTCTGGAGACCAACAACATCTAGTGGAGGCTCAGGAACTGGGAGTTATGAGTGCACTTGTGGATTTAGCTCACAATGGCACAGATAGGGGCAAACGAAAGGCTGTCCAACTGATTGAGCGAATTGGCCGGTACGCAGAGCAGCAGAAACAAGCACATGCGCTGTCTGAGGCTCAAGCTCAAGCTCAGGCCCAAGCTCAGCCACCTCGGCCATCCTCTGCGGTGCATGTTGTTGATAGCTAATGTTTCTCTTTTGGCTTCTATTCTGTTTTGTTCATTAACGGGTCACCTTTGTTTGTATTTTTTTACAAATATTCCACTAGGCAGGATGGGGAGGTGGAAGATCACCTGCTCAATCTGTAAGTTATTCATTTGTTTGAGGGCTCAGAGAAAAGAATATTACATATTCACAAAAGCAAAGCGGAAAAGAAATGGTGAAGAAGAGAGGAGAGGGAAGGACTGAGAATTGAGATGTACCATTTGTAACATGTAATGACTGTAATCATCCTCAGTTTTTATGGAAGTGATGTTTTACTAGTTCAAATCAAAACCATACAAACCCAGCTGTGATTCTGAGGTAATTCTTTCTTATGATCAGTGTTATTTATGTTTATTTATTTATTTATTTTGTATCGGTTAGTTACCCTTTCGAGAATGGGGAAAACATAATCACCTCGTCATAGTGAGTTGATTTTGTAATTGGTTAAATTTAAAAAAAATGATTCTTAAATTATTTGGACTTTTGATAAAATTCACTCCGTATTTTGATGACTTGGGTGGGATTGGCAAAATGATTGTTACTAATGATATTTCGAAAGAAAATTATTAAATATACCATGTTAACATTGGAGCGTGCTTGTTTAAGAGGAAAAGCTATCATGTGTATAAACTATCCGTATGTTATAATAAGTGCTAGAATAAATAAATTAAAAGAAAAAGGATATAGTAGCTAATACAACTTTCATATATTTCTAATATGATATAAAATTATTTTGAAGTGACTTTTTATTTAGAACTTGTGGAAGAATATCTTAAAAACCTGTCACATTTGCTAAAATTTTAAACAATAAAATTTATTCTAAAATAAAATTTATCTCGACCTGAATAAAATGATTATTTAAATTTTATTTAATTTCTTCCAATTGACATGACTTATATGTATATTAAATTTATAAAGAGTTGGAATAAAAACTCAGTTGAATGTACTTAGGGTTCATGTTGGAAGGTAATAGGAGCAGAGCATCAAAGAAATTTTCAAGAAATCAAGTCTAGATATTTCCAAACCAGATAAAATTTAAAACGAAATAAATTAATCTACATTATAGTTAATGCATATACATAAACAATAACACATTATACTCCGCATAAAATGAAATTTCAGATTTTGAAGATGATTATTGCAGGCTTGGCTTTTGCCAGATTCTTCCCATGAACATATTGTTAGAGAATATTCTTTTCTTCCTTTCTTCTGGTCTGATTCAACTGAAAACTAAAGCACCAAAGTTCAAATAGACAAGAAACCACAATGTAAACCCTTTTTTTTTTTCTCTCAATGAAATCCACATGATTTTTCATAACGAAATTGAAGGAAAGAAGTGCTTAATGACTGCAATATAAAACAAAAGTGAAGGAATTTTAACAAATCTGTTATCATCATAATCATCATCTCCGCTGATCCGTTTTCTTCAATTCTTTCATAAGTACATAAAAAAACTCAAATGTAGGTAAAGAACATAGCGAGCTGCAACACCTTACCCAAGACAAGAAATTACACCCCACCTTCCTCCTTCCGATTTCATTAGAAGCATTTCCTGTGGACGATAGATGGGCCAGACTCATCATATTCAGCCTTTGCAATCCACATCTGCATTCCAACAATCAAATTTAGGTTTGAAATGATGATATATTTACTTCGATATTATGAAAATTATGTTACATTTGGTTAAAGTTCATTTTATTTCCATTAAGTTATTAGATGTTAATTTTAGATCCTTTAGGAATCATCAGCAGGAGAACCATCCTTATTAAGAATACCTGCTGGAAAGTGCTGAGAGATGCCAAGATGGAGCCTCCAATCCAGACACTATACTTCCTCTCCGGTGGAGCCACCACCTTGATCTTCATGCTGCTTGGGGCCAAAGCAGTAATTTCTTTGCTCATTCTGTCAGCAATACCCGCGAACATGGTAGATCCACCACTGAGAACAATGTTCCCATACAAATCCTTCCTAATATCGACATCACACTTCATGATAGAATTGTATGTGGTTTCGTGAATTCCTGCTGCTTCCATTCCAATCATTGATGGCTGGAAGAGGACTTCAGGGCATCGGAAGCGCTCAGCACCAATGGTGATCACCTGTCCATCAGGTAGCTCATAGCTCTTCTCAACAGAAGAGCTAGTCTTTGAAGTTTCCAGTTCTTGCTCAAAATCAAGAGCAATATATGACAGTTTTTCCTTCATGTCTCTTACAATTTCACGTTCAGCAGTTGTTGTGAAGGAATAGCCACGTTCAGTCAAGATCTTCATGAGGTGATCAGTAAGGTCTCGACCTGCAAGGTCAAGACGGAGGATGGCATGGGGAAGCGCGTAGCCCTCATAAATGGGGACTGTATGACTGACACCATCTCCAGAATCCAGAACAATACCTGCACAACAATCCAGAAAAGATTGGCATCCCTTATATCACATGGTTAACACTGGACTACGAGAACATTAAACCCAACAAGCTGTTGTTACTTTTAGAGTGTCAGAGAACTGCAACTGCAACTAACGCAATTCTTTATCCTTTTCTTTTCTGTAGTAACTAAAACACGGGCACCAATTTCAAACAGTAAGAAAGTAAAGTCTTGAACCAATGAATTTTTTTACTAGTCTTCATAGAGTTGGATCTATTCGAATCAATCAGTCTAAATCCATACAGAATTAAATCTGTCTAACTTACCGGTTGTACGACCACTGGCATATAGGGAGAGGACAGCCTGGATTGCAACATACATTGCTGGAGTGTTGAAAGTTTCAAACATGATCTGGGTCATCTTTTCCCTATTGGCCTTTGGATTGAGAGGTGCTTCTGTAAGAAGAACTGGATGTTCTTCTGGGGCCACGCGGAGTTCATTGTAGAAGGTGTGATGCCAAATCTTTTCCATATCATCCCAGTTATTCACAATGCCATGCTCAATTGGGTACTTTAGAGTCAAAATACCACGCTTCGACTGTGCCTCATCACCAACATATGCATCCTTTTGGCCCATGCCAACCATCACACCAGTGTGGCGTGGACGACCAACAATGCTAGGAAACACAGCCCTTGGAGCATCATCACCAGCAAATCCGGCCTACAAATTGAAATAATAGTGACAACATGCAGATTTTCTTATGATAGACAAGAATTTCCATTATAGATTTATTCAGAATGGGGCATGCTAAGTTGATACCTTAACCATTCCTGTCCCATTGTCACAGACGAGTGGCTGAATATCCTCACCTTCTGCCATCTTCTATCACTAGCTGGAACATGTCACCGGCAGCAAATCAGACTTAGGCAAGGTGAAAATAAAATTCAACATTCAAAGGGGGAACCAAGATTATACATCTAAAATGCAAGAACAGGTAAAATTTAGGTGAAATTTCTAAAAGTCAGCCACAAAATTCTCCTCTCCAAACAACTTACTAGTCACAGAATAGATCTCTGCACATTTTTAAATTTGAGGTAAGAACAAGAAATATTCGTACTAACAATGATCAAGCCAGATACTTCCTCAAGAAACTTGTGGCCCACTAATACATCTACAAGGATTTCAAATTCATCAACCGTCACAAAAATAAAATATATATTTTTTCAAACCAAAAGGCAATGAAGAAGAAATCAAAATGATAGCAGACTGCCATAAGTTCAACGAGAACAACAAAAATCCTTCCATTTAGAAATGTATTCCGTCAATCTGGATGAATTTATCCTTCCATTTTACTTCTAAGATCACAATCACATAAACTTTCCATAAAAAAGGTAAATCAAGATACATATTACGACAATCCCGATCCAATAGCATGGCACTGAGAAATTCCCAAATTAACAACAATAAATCCATAGAATTGTTTCTGAAAAATCAAAATCAAGGGCATTATGCAACAATGTGATCATTATCAAGCTAAAAGAAATCACAATTCATAAACAGATCCGTCAAGATCAGAGCGTCAAATCGATATGAAAACACACGAAACCAGAATAACCGATTAATCGCATCAATATCTTGTCCAATCCAGATCGGAGAAAGAAAACGAAAAATGAAGGAACCGAAAACATTCTGAATCAAGAAGATTCTATCCATTTCCCTTCCCTTTTCTCAATAACCAAAAGGATAGACAGAGAGAAGCAAAACGAGAACAATATTCACCTGAGAAATTACGATAACGAGGAGAGAAAATGAAAAAAATAAAGAGAGAGTGAGAGAGGGAAGGAAAGAAGCCTCCGATCTCAGCTGCCCGCCCTTGGGTTCAAAAATGATCAAATGCAAATGAAACCCTGCCCAAATGATACTCTAAATCCAAATGAAATTCCCCTTTATATTCCTATCCATATTTCCCGTTTTAACACCACCTCTCTCCAAAAGATACGGGCCACAGCGAAGACCGTTTAAAATAGCCCTCGTACTAATACGATGTCGTTTTAGAAGCCATTCTAATTCTATTATTCTCCTTGGGCCTTTTTGTCTTTCCACTTTTGTTTGTTTCGAACTGACTATACGACGTCGTATACGAGAGCTTCCCTTCCTTCTTTAAACTGTATAATATCCAGGGCTCAATAAAGAATTAGTAAGCAGAGATTGACTGGGAGATCGAAGAGGAAGAAGGGTTCTAAGAGAACAGGTACAAGCAAGCTCTCTCCTCGGTTTCTCTGTACTTTGAAATTTACTGCGGGATGCTTCCGATTTTGTGTTGACCTTTACTGGGGTTTCCAAATTTGTTCTTATGTTGATCGTCTTATAGATCGACTCTTTTTTTTAGAAAAATTAAATATAGGTCGACTCTTCTTGTCGGAATTCCACGATTTGTTATGCGAATGTAGGGTTTATGTGCTTAGTTTGGTGTTTTTGACGAGAGCCTAAGGTTTTCGGGCGTTCAATTTTTCATCATGGTTTTTTCTCTTTTCCTGCGTTAACGACCAGATATTATGTCACTGTAATGGCATTCGCTTTCATTGGTAGCCTACAAACCCTATGGCCTTTCTCTCTGTTCAAATTCGATGATTTAAAAGCGTCAGACGAATTGGTACGCAAACTTTCGGTACCAGAAACGACAAAGAGATTCGTTTTCGCTGTTAGAATACCCGAATCTCAATCTGTAATATACATACTCTCTGCTCAGAACTTATCTGAGAGATCTGCTGTAGATGCTGACTGCCTTATTAGGGAGATTCGACCCGATGTTGTTGTCGCACAAGTAGGTAATTCGGCTCTGAGCGAAATTCAATCAGAAGAGGATGAATTAGGAAGAGGTGATATCAGTTTCCCAATCCCTACTTCATCTTTTGAAGTACTCAGACGGTGTTTTGTTGATAAGGCCAATAAGCAGAAGTATGAGAATTTGGCTGGTAACTTGGTTCTGAGAGAAATTTTTGGAATTTGTTTTCATGGACATTTTTTGGCAGCCAAGAAAGCGGCCAGGGAGGTTGGTTCATCCTTTGTAGCTCTTGAATCACCATTTGTTATAGCCTCTTCGCTAGATAACTCCTCCGGGCAGGTTGTGGGTGACAAGGTTCAAGGACTGGTTAGTAGTTTGGTTTCGCAAACTGTGACTCCGGTAGTATTATCAAGTTCGAGGAGGTTTGCCATTAACAATGATATTCAGTCAGGGACTCTGAAGTTGTTATCCTCACACATGAAGATTTTAGACACGAAGTTGTGGCCTTCATCTTCGATTTCGGAGCTGAGGTTGAAGGAAGTTCCAGCAATAGATAATTATGATATCCCACCATTTGCTCAATTCATTTATCCACTGCTCCTTGATCTGCATAACATATTTACTGACCTCCCATCTATTGGAAGAGCTCTGGCTTATGCGAGGAAGATTTTTTCTGATGTGAACAAAGGTGAAGTTGTGGACACCCAAATTGTATCCGAAATTTACACCTTTCGAGTTGCAGTTGAGGGATTGAGAATTGCTCTAAACAATGCCGGCCGGCTACCCATTAGCAAAATCAGGAAATCTAATGCCCCTAA